TGTGAATCGTGTTATGGCTTCAAGTGTCGAATTTATGTCACTTATGTTTATCGACACTGGTTACAACGAATGAATCAATCAGTTTGAACATACACGAGCAACAATGAAAGCGAACGAACGAATAGATATTTACAGCCACAATGATACACATTTTTCATCAGAAAGTTATGAGTAGATTGCAGAGTGAATAATCGGTTGGGAATATGAGAAGAAATTCAATGTTACAGATATCGCACTTATTTACAGTGCGATTGCTCCATCGTTTCACATTGTCTCGTCCCTCTCACCCGTGACCTTAAAAAAGTAAATTCCCTCTAACCCTTTCTGTGATCTGATTGGATCATATTCCGCGATCTGCGGCGCTTAAATTCTCTCACCCCAACACGAGACTGTCTGATTACCGGCTTGTACGCTTTACAATGCACTTGTTGTTACGTCCAGTCCATTCGTGTGCTAATGGCACTCCTGCTGCACAGTGGAAGCTAGCTGGGCCTGCCTGAGACTCACGGCTGTAAACAAGGTGTGGTGTGTAGATGATGTGATTTCCTTCGAATACGATTTATTGTTTCCACTCTGTTCGACCAGGTTCATTCTTGTTTTCATCAACTGGGTTAATTGTCTTTTTGTGATTATTGTAGATAAAGCAGTTTTATATTATGGTGCATGCATATGCTCATTTCTGTGGTTCGACTAAACTTACAAAGGAATGGATGAATATCTGGAGTCAATAAGCGGCAATTGGATAAGAAAATTTCCCCTGAAGAAGGGTAAGCAGTTTCGGGGTAACTATAGACACTTGAAACTGAAAAAGGGCGAATACCTGATGCAGTGTACTAATAGTAAGCTGAGTACGTCGTAAAAGATCTGAATTTCTTGGGTGCATAAAGAATACAACGAACGGTATATCTATATTCCGTTCTAAATAAACAGTGCATAATTATAAACATTGGGAACAAGTAACGGAATTAATCTACTATTCATCAATCCGGTTTCTTTTGTCACAAAAATGTCAACCGATTTTTCGTACTATTTAATAGGTTCTCCTGCTGACTATCATGCAATATCGCTGTTTCTGGAACTGACCCACTTTTCTGAATTCCGAGGGGTGTGACATAGCAGGAGATTGACTACAAATATTATTGTCCAATATGCAGGTCTACACAGGTCATACACTTTTCAAAAAATGAAGCAGTAACTATTGTTATTGATTGACTGCTAGTGTTCATAGTCGCTGTGCCCAGCCTCTTTGTGTCTACATCCGTGCTTCTACCAAGTATTCTTCTGAATTGGTCATCGAGACGAATTGTCAGATCAGTTTTCAGAAACAAATCATTATTGACCGTTATACAGTAGCAACATACAAGTCAAGTCAAGAGTGCACTTTATTCATCCAATGTGGACAGAATTTTCAGGGAAAAGAATGTTATCGCTTTTGCTTTGGTATGCTCGTTATTAAAAATGAGCTTAGAGATGTGGCAAATAGTTACTGAGATCATAATTAATCTTACACCGATAACGCGTAAAAAATAAGGAAGATGGCAACGTGGAAATTTACATGAGACTGTGTAAAAGTTCGTTTGATATTCGTCCCCTAGAAACCAACAGACGTGAAAGGTAAGATACAAGGGGGTTGTGAAACGCAGTGATACGAGTATATAAAGGTTTAAATTTATTACAGACAGAAGTTGAAATGGAGCTAGATAGGGCTGTGCGTTAGGGATGTGACTCATCGGACAAGATGGAGTCACACAGACGGTCACACGCATTCTGGTGTTGGTTGACAATGGAATCAACCAGCTCCTCATGAGATACAGCTCCATATCTAGAGATGCTTTTCAGAGAGCGTCTAATTGATATGAAATCCTCAAACAGTAGACCGGGAAAGATAACGGGAGAGCAGTAGGTCCAATGGCATCAAACTCACGAGATAAATTTGGAGGTGATGTACAATGGCACCCTCAGATGCCGAAGGCGTGAAATNCGGGATAGGACCATTCGAGGTCAGCAGACACGAAACATCCAAGATATCTGAAGTGTTGTGACCTTTCAACTTTAATGTTATTGATCAAGACATTGGGAACAGATGATCCAGAAAGAGTTGATGGCCTACGGTCAATGGAAAACAGAACTTCAATGCATTTATTAGGGTTTAAAGAAAGATTAACGCCATCGGACCGTTCAGAAATGGAACTTATAGCTGATTGAAGGGGGTTAGTTGAAGCGTTGTTGTTGTGAGCTGGACCACCAACTATTATGACATCGGCATATTTGAAAGTGAAAACATTTGGGGTGACTGGCAAATGTTGGATGTGAAAGGAGAACAGAAAAAGGGGATAAAATTGCTCCCTGGTTTACAGTAATAGCAGAAGACCTAATACCAATAAGACTAGTGCATTGGCGTCGGTCGGTAAAATAGTCGTGCATCCAATTCAAAAGATGTGGCGGGATATTATCTCGCCGTATTAGTGTCAATAGGATGTTTCTGTCGACAGAGTTGAACGCGTTTGTGTAGTCCAAGAAACAAACGTGAACAATTTTGTTTTTGGTGTATAGTGGATAAAACAGAATGTATAAAACAAGCAACCGCATCTCAAGTAGAATGACACTTACAATAAGCAAACTGATTGGAATCACGAAAATCAAGATTAGAGGATAGGTGCTTAATAATAATACACTCAAAAGTTTTAAGTGATACTGAAGATGAAGCAATAGGCCGAAACTTACCCTTTTCTTTCTTAGGTACTGGAGTGATTCGAACATCACGCCATGTGTTAACTGGTCTTCCTTCTGACAGACATGTATTAAAGATAAACGAAACGGTTTGTGCGAGGTGTTTTGCGCATGTTTTGATGACCACTGGGGATAACCCATCGGGACCAGCGGATTTGTTTCCATAGCCAGCATACTGTGTATATTCGAAACATTCAGTTAGATTGTGTTTGCTACAAAGAATGTGGTTGACCTTTTTATACACTCGCAGTGAGACATCCCGTTCAAAGATGGTAGTAGCCAACCTACTGATTCGAATTCCGAGGTTTTAGTATGGAGTACCACTATCATTCAATATTGCCTGTTTTCATGTGTCGCAAGCACTGGTTCCCCCCATGGGTTGTTATGCGATTAACCACTTAAATATGTGGAGCAATGGAGCGAAAAATGAATGCTCACTGTGTCTATTCATCTCTCTCAATGGTCCGTATGGTTGTGTTCGATGACGGGGTCAAAATGTACACTAAACATGGTCACCGCACGATTTACAGCAATTTGAAGCTGGTATTGAACTTGGTGGTGTTGACTGGATTGCGGTGATTCGGTTACTTGGCTCGAGGACCCACTGTTGACTGTCTGACCGATAACGTAACCACAAGCCGTTCCGGGTTAGCCAAGCAAATGGGCAATTTGGTAGCATACAGTCAAGTGAGAATGTGTCATGACCTTGGGTAATTGCGACACAATTACCAAAGCATGACTGGATCACGTGTGTTAAACCGTCGATGAGAATGATCAGTCAGTCAGCTGCATAGGCGTAGACAGTGTGACACTGACTAAGCTAACCGGTGAAGTGGGCGTCACGACCAAGTGCGGCGGGGCGTGAAAATGCGGCTTGGTGCACTCCCCCCCCCTAATTTTGAAACCAAATCAAAGCGAGACCTATCATCAGTGCTAAGTCTGTTTGGTGTNCGTTCATAGATGACCTGGCATTCAAGTGCTATGGTTATTTTTTTTAGGATAACCATCTCATAGAAAACTATAGCTTTGACCGCAATCTTTCTCCGCCTATGATTCTGTTATTTACTGACCATACATTAATGATCACATAGACTGCAGTATGCACGTGTACGGATGCAGCGAAATGATCCAGGATACATTGCGCAAACCTGTGTTTTTGGCTTCTTTATTCAAATTCGTTATGGGGAAACTATGCTTCCAAAACTATAGCTGTTGTATTGATTCCCAAGATACTTTCTACCAGCGTGTTTTCCACATTTTTGTGATCTATGACCTCATCTGGATTCCAGTAAATCGAGCAGGCTATCCGCAGCCGCTGACGATCTTTTATCACAAGCCCCGACTACCAGTATCCATTCGCATATGGCCTGAATTGATAGACTCTGTATGCGACCGCGTTCGTTTCCCATTTACTTGCTAAATTTTTCGATAGTTCTGGTTCGTTGTATTATCTTGGATACTTCTCTGCTCTGGACTTGATTCTCCAATCGTTTTACATTCTCACTCACCTTTACTTAAGGGACTGAACGCAACGTGTCCAAACAAGTTGGTAAAATGTTTTTAAAACTATATCGCATGACTGGTTTTATTTAGGATGCAGTTTTGTGTATTTTTACTACATACATTTACCGGTTGATATTCCTTTTTAAACTTCTTATACAGTTCCCTGTTTACCAAACGTTTGCTGTCTAATGTCAATCGCTGTTCGCATGATGCAATCCCAAAAGTTGTCTCTGATTACCGTACCCGTTCCCCATTCAAATGTCTCCCATTTCGCACATCCACATATAGCATAACAGCAGTATTCCCTGTCAAGTGGGTATCTTAGTGAACCACATACCCATTATTTCTAACGTCTGGGTAAACCTTTCACGTAAACCATTTTTCGTCTTTTTGAATTGTCCCTTTCTTACTACTCTGCGATTTGTGGATGAAGTTGGAAATTCACTCGCCGGGCTTCATGAAGTATTCTTGATTAAATTTAGTTTTCACTCACACTCATCAATACAAAGTCATTACTGACTTATTAACTCATGCATAAACATTCACCGTGATTTCCCAGTTCCGCTTTTACCTTGTTCGGTTTTGGTTTACAAGGTGAGATCCTCAGACTAATTCTGCGAGGACCCGAAGGATAAAAACTTTTTCCAATTATTTGTTCCTCTACCTTTATATTAAGTTTTTTCGCTCAACATATTCTGATGTCATTGATGTTGCAAGACATATTTTTTGATCCAAATATAAGTTTGTTTGATTCACAGAATTTCATATACAAATACAGTATGTGCCCCAGTTAAGTTTTCAACCCCCCCCCCGGGCCCGCCCGCCGAACAATAGATAGCTTACCAACATGATACGCTGATGATAACGGAATAAGAATGGAGGAATGGCCTTCATTCGAAATCCAAGCTCCAATCCAAGTAACTGAGTGCCATTTGGAATCCATTGTAAAAAATTGGCGTCCACACAATCCACGGTAGGCAGTGGATCCGGTCGAAATCGGGGTTCATAAATAAACAGGTAGAACTCATCTCTCTTCCCAATCATCACACAGTCTAGGTAGCTCACAATCTCCGTTGGAGCCGGTAAGCTGTTCCAATGATCACAGGACATGAACAATTTATAATCCGGTTCGGAATCTGTTTCATTCCCCATTTGTGCACTGCCCGATTCCGATGCGGCGTCCATCGATTCGGTATCTAGACCATCTGAAGCGGTTGTAGTTGCCGTATTGCTGTACTCTGTGCCACTCGAGGGTGTTATATCCCCGGATCCATCAATTTCGTCCGTAGATTTTAGCACAGTTCGTCGAACAATAAAACAGCCCACATTTGGACAGAACTGACAAATCGGGTCTTCAACATCCGGCATATAAGGCAATTCGAATGTTCGATCAGTTTCATACTGACCCCCATTAATATCAACCGCTGCAGGCCAGTATCCCAACGGACACAATGTCTGGGGTGCTGTATAGTTTTCCATCATAACCACATTTGAATTGATCAGTACGATACATAGTGTGATAAAAATAAGTCGTTCCGAGGACATCTTCAATCTATACATTAGGTCTGTGAGATCGAACTAGCGTAGAGACTTATCCCAACGGTGCGCTGTCCGATTTTATTTTGCGCTGTTGCTGGGGCACAGGCGTATCATTGGTTGCGCCTCGCTGTCTGTCCACGTAGGTGTACAGAGGCTTGAATCGATCTGTACACTGGGGTCACGTGTTCATGTGGCACTAGCCTAGACATGTCCATCTAACCCCCCAAACGAACGTGTGCGGCAGGAAACAGCCCATTGGGACTGCGAACACCTTAGGGAAAATAAAGTGCCCGAAGAGGCAGAAATTGCTTTATTTGAACGAAGGAATCGCAGCTAAATGAAGAAGAACGAAAGTAGGGAAACGCTTTTTCTTCATCTCTAAAACAAGTCGCTCCATATAATCTAATTTTCGGGTATACTAAACTTTTAGTTTGCAAAACGCGTTAACCCAAGTTATAAGTCAACTTTCGGATAGACATCAGAGTGGTTAGAATGGTTATGAGAAGTTTCGTCTGGGAATCAATGGTTCATTTACCCGAAAAACGTATGAATAACTTTGGTCGCTACTGAACTAGCTGTGTTTCGATTTCAGTTATCTACAGACAGGTTAAATAAATATTCTTGGTTTCCGTCTGATTCAAACTTGCTATCATCTACTGGCGGGGTAATTTACAACAAACCACAACTGCTTTGCGACGCAGATTTGTTTGCAGTGGTTAGTTGGGGGCTAGGGAAACTCAAGAGTAGTGTAAAGGCTTGCTTATTTCTGGTGTCCTAAAGTCTATAAGAATTCCAATGTTCTTAACTCTGGGGAAGTTGTAAAAATCCGTGCAAAGTTGTCTCCTCTCAATCAGTTAACACAATGAAGTTCTGCTATTTAGTGCTTAGATAAAGAGAATCAATCTAACCAACTGTTCATTGTCCAAAGGAGCTTGTGTACCGATCCGAGTTCGGTTCCCAGCAAAGTTGATACATTCGCTCCGAGACTGATGCTACCCAGCAAAAAGGGAAATTCATCTTCGTTATGGAATTCGCGTTTGTTTTGGTCCCTTTTTGACGTGTTGTTTTGAAATCTCGACGGTTGATCGATATCGTTGTCATATCATCCATTCTTGTAACTAAGATCACTACTGGAGTTTGTCTTCCCCTGATTTTTGTGCATTTTCTTTGACAGCTTGAGGTCTGTATAGCGCCCGTGGAAAGCCAAATGGATAGCGTTTTTCTCCTGGTTAGAACTGGTCAGTATTAAGGACCATTTTTGCCACCGAACCCCACAATTGCAACACATGAAATAGATCGGTAGCAAATTGCGTGCATCAACCAAACATACACATCCTTCTTCAGTTGAGTGGCAAAGTGCTGTTCGCAAAAGTGACACTGAATAGTATGTGCACGGATTGAAACTACTTGCTTTTCTCATACTTCTTTTATAATATCATTTTGACGGCCAAGTGTAGTCAGAAACGGAGAGAATCACATTTCGCGCTCAGCCATTCCAACCTGGGAACACCGAGAATTCGGTCACTTGGTTGAAATCACTTCAACCGAACTGTACAGCGAATGTATTGATGAATTTGACGATGACCCACTTTAACAAGAAAACTGTAAAAATTGAAGTAGGTACGGATCACCGATCACGAATCATGGTCGCAAATGAAGAACAGAATCGCACTAACAATCGTACGCTGGAATCTCTCGTCACCGAGACGCAGGAAAAAGGCCACAGATGTGGAAGTTGATTTATTGAGAAAAATCAATGAGATTAAATAACATGTACAAAAGAATTTTATTGGTTACACAGGTTTCCAGCAATAGATTATATGTGTTCTTAACGTCATACAGCCTCTGTCTGTATCCAAAGGCTTCTGATAGGTGGATAGGATTGATCTGTGGTTCGTTGTCCAGAAACTGTAACGGGTCGCTCCGTGTTCGGCGCTATTTCGTAGGCTAGGATCACCACAGAAACCTTCAGGTATTCCATTTCGGTGTCATTTCAAATGGCACAAGATCGCAAAGGAACAGTCTTTGTGGATGCCAAAGTTTTCGAACACAACTATTATTGAGCAACTTGCCTACAGGGATTGGTGGTTGGCTTTTCCTTTTCGTGGT